CCTTGATCTCAGTAATTCAAGTTACCTTTCTAGAAGTCCCAACTTTAAAGAGCTTCCTAATCTTGTGAGGTTATTTCTCAATTACCGCACAAGGCTGATAGAGATTGATGAATCAATCGGGCAATTGTATAATTTGTTCCTGTTGAACCTAACGGGCTGTGAAGACCTCAGGGGACTTCCACATTATTAGTTTTTTTTCTAGAAATAGGATTTCAAGAGTGACACAAGTAAAGGAAGCAAGAAATTAGAGCCAAAGAGTTAAAATCAGCAGAAGCTGAAGCTGAAGCTGAGTAAGAAGTGGACGCGGCAGCAGTTAGTTATATTAGTTACAGGTTGTTAGGATTAGTTACAAGTTGTTAGCAAATAATAATAGCATTCTAGATTCTTCAGCTGAGCTTTATATAGTTGATAAACATGTAAATGAGGCATTACATTGAAGATAATAACAACTTTCTTCTCTCTCAATTCTCTTTCTTAATCACAACTATTTTTCTCGGTAATTCCCTGATATAGCGGCCACCTTCTTCGAGATTCAGCTCCTAGATTGATTGATTTCCATTTAGTTATGTTACATTTGCATCAATTGGTATCAGAGCTACCTATCTTTGGCATTATAGATCATGACTCGCAGCAAAATACAAAGAAATATGTTAAAGAAACGAAGGAAAATTAACAACTATTCAAGATCAGTTGCAGAAGCTGATGGACGGAATGATGATTTTGAATGAACATAATATATAGACTGATAAGGAACTGCTGGAATTGAAGGAAACAATGGGAGCTGTGAATCGAAAAGGGAAGAAAAAAGAGCCAGTTAGTGCAGAATCTGCTTATGGTCGAGCTGGTTCAATGGAGATCCAATAAGAGGGAAGAATCAGAGAAGTCCACCAAGGTACGACTTCTAATGATAATTCCTTCACTCGATACTCTAGGCTTGAATTTCCTCGATTCTCTGGCCATAATTTAATTCAGTTTTAGAACCTACATGGACTGAGTATGTATTAGCTCTGAATGAGAGGTTTGGTGAAGGTTTTGACGATCATATGGAGGCCTTAAAGAATTTACAGCAAATTGGTAGTGTTAAGGACTATCAGAGTGAATTTAATAGGTTGTTAACTGGGGTTAATCTGTCCAATGAGAATGCCATTAGTTGTTTCTTGGGAGGCCTAAAACCATAATTGAACAAACCTATTAGAATTCAGTCACCTAAAACTCTTCTGCAAGCCTACATGATTGCTAGGTTGCAGAAAGAAGTATTTGAGGCTCAAGCTCAATCTTGGGGACTTAAGCCTAATCCAAGAACTCAAACTACCTTATTACCTACCCCTACCACAAATAAACATACTAGAATTCCTCGCAGGAGATTGAGTGCAACTGAAATGGATGAGAAAGAGCAAAGGGATTGTGTTTTTCTGTGATGACAAGTATGTACCAGCCCACAACTGTAGAGGCAACAAGCAGTTGTACTTGGTAGAAGTGATAGAAGATGAAGGAATAGAGTTGGAAGAATAGGAAAATCAGACACAAGAACTGTTGGCAGACTCAGATGAGTTCATGGCTATTTCATTGCAAGCATTTACGGGTGTAGCAGGTTATCAAACTATAAGAGTTACAAGCTATCATGAAAGGAGACCATTCAGGTGTTGATAGACACTGGAAGTACTCATAATTTTATTGATGAGGAAGTAGCTGCAAGACTGGGCTGCAAGGCTTATTCTATCCAAAAACAATCTGTGAGTGTGGCTGATGGAAGAAAGGTGCAGACTGCTTCAGTTTGTAAAGACCTCCAATGGTTACTATAAGGTACAACATTCTTATCTGATTTCGTACTCCAACCATTGGGTAATGTAGATATTGTGTTAGGTGTTCAATGGTTGAATACTCAAGGTAGGATATTGTTTGACTTCAGAAAGAGAACCATTAAATCTATGTACCTAGGGAAGATATATGTACTCAGGGGTGCAGGTGTTCAACTCAAGTCTGCTAAGGCTAAGAATTTGGTAAAGAAGGAAGGAGCACATGTCCAATTCTTTATGATGTCGTTAGTAACTAATAGGATGAAGACATTCAATGCCACAGTATACAGGCTATGCCAAGTGCTGACACTTTGCAAGACTAGCAGCACTAATAAGCCAGTACTCTTGTATTTTTGAGTTGCCTACTACTTTAACTCCTCATAGGGGTTCCTATGATCATATGATTCCTTTAAAGGAGGCATCTAATCCTATTAATAAGAGACCCTATAGATACCCTAGATAAAGAAAGATATAATTGAAAAACTAGCGCAAGAAATATTGGATCAAGGAGTGATACAACCTAGCACTAGTCTTATGCATCTCCAGTAGTGTTAGCGGGAAAGAACGATGGTAGCTGGAGACTTTGTGTAGACTATAGAGGTCTGAATCAAATGACTATCAAGGACAAATTCCCTATACCCATTATTAAAGACTTACTTGATGAATTAAATGGTCCCGAGATCTTTTCTAAAATAGATCTTAGAGCTGGATATCATCAATTGAGAAAGGCTGATGGAGACACTCACAAAACTGCTTTCAAATTCATGAAGGACATTATGAATTTTGGTAATGCCCTTTGGACTAACCAATGCACCTTCATCATTTCAGAGCTTAATGAATGTTGTCTTTAGACCATTATTAAGGAAATCAGTGCTGGTATTCTTTGATGATATTCTGATCCATAGCAGGAGTGTAACTGCTTATGTGGATCATGTAAGGGCTGTGTTTGACTTGATGAAGCAACATCAATTGTATGCCAAAATATCAAAAATGTGCATTTGAAGTGGCTAAAGTTGAATATCTTGGACATTTTATCAGTGCTAAAGGTGTATCAACAGATCCAAGAAAGATTATTGTTGTACATCAATGGCCTATACCTATGAACATCAAACAATTGAGGTGCTTCTTAGGTTTTGCAGTCTATTATAAAAGGTACATTCAAGGCTTTGGAACCATATGCAGACCACTTCATGATCTGTTGAAGAAGGATGACTTTGTATGGACTGAGGAAGGTAATACTGCTTTCAACAACTTGAAGCAGGTCCTGGTCTCTGTCCCTGTGTTAGCTATGCCAGATTATTCTACGCCTTTCATAGTAAAAATAGATGTTAGTGGCAAGGGAATTGAAACTGTATTTGATGAAACAAGGACATCCTATTGCTTATATAAGCAAGTCCTTAGCTCCCAGCTTGCTCTCATTTTTGTTGTCACTAAGTGGTCACATCACTTGTTAGCAATCACTTTATTGCTAAGATAGATCAGAAAGCATTAAAACACTCGTTGGATCAACAGGTGCATACTGATTTCCAAGTTGCTGGCATATCCAAATTGATGGGATTTGACTTCTCTATTGAGTACAAGAAAGGATCTGAGAAGAAGGCTGCAGATGCACTGTCAAGAAAACCTGATGCTGAACTATTATCTATATCCTTGCTTACTCTTAATGATTCATTATATTCACAGATCAGAACTTCTTGGATGAATGATCCAGCTTTGCAGGAACTGATGACTAAGCTACAAACACAACCTTACAAATCCTATACTTGGTGTAATAACGAGCTTAGATGGAAGGTTAGGTTAGTTGTGGGTAATGATCATCAGTTGAGGAAGACTATAATTACACTTTGGCATAGTACTACGCAGGGAGGCCATTCTGGGATGGATGCTACTATTAAGAGATTGCAGTCTCTGTTCCATTGGAAATCTCTTATCATTGATGTCAGAGATTTTGTGAATAAATGTGATGTCTGTCAAAGACATATTTCTTCTTCAAATGAGATAGCACTTAGCTCATTAGGCATATAAAAAAACACAGCTTCATCACAAGAAAAACGGGAGGGGAACAGAGAAACAGACGAGAGGCTTTTCAATTTTCTTTCTTGAATCTTAAAGAAACTTCACCAGGTCTGCTGCAACCTCTCCTAATTCCTACAAGTGTCTGGACTGACATATGTCTAGATTTCATTGAGGGTCTTCCAAAGTCACATGGTAAAGAGGTGATCCTAGTGGTAGTAGATAGGCTAACTAAGTCTGGGCATTTCTTAAGTCTGCAGCATCCTTATACTGCTCAGACAGTGGCTCAGTGCTTTTTAGATCAAGTATTCAAACCAGGGATCCAGTATTCTTAAGCTCCTTCTGGCAGGAACTATTCTCACTTCAAGGAGTACAGTTGCAGAGGTCCACAACATATCATCCACAAACTGATGGTCAAACAGAGGTGTTGAACATGACTTTGGAGACCTATTTGAGGTATTTTTGCTCAGATAGTCCTAAGGATTGGTCCAAGTATTTTCCCCTAGCTGAGTGATGGTATAATACTACCTATCACTCCACTATCAAATGCACTCCCTATGAAGCATTATATGGTCAAAAGCCCCCTATACATCTTCCGTACTTGAGTGGAGAAACTGATATTGAGATGGTTGACAAGTCCCTTGAAGCAAGAGAGGCCATACTACAGTTGTTAAAGTTTCATTTGTCTAGAGCCCAACAAAGAAGGAAGGATATTGCCAACCAACATAGATCTGATAGGTTGTTTGAGGTTGGTGATTGGGCCTACCTTAAGCTGCAACCTTACTGGCAAATCTCAGTGGCTACACGACCTTTCAATAAATTGGCTGCTAAATATTATGGACCTTATCTTGTTGAAGCAAAGATTGGTACAGTGGCTTACAAGTTGCTCATGTCTGCTGATATTCATATCCACCCAACATTCCATGTCTCTCAATTGAAGAAGTGCCATGAGGTGCCTCACACTATCAACCATCCTCTTGTACTCCATTTATCCAGACCATACTTCCCTCAACCAGAGTCCATCTTAGAGAGGAGGTTAGTCAAACGAGGCAATAAGGCTGTTTGCCTTACAAGTAAAGGAAGCAAGCAGTTAGAGGAAAAGAATTAGAGCTAAAGAGTTTAAATGCAGTAGCAGGATAACGTGGCAGCTAGTTATGTTAGTTACAGGTTGTTAGGATTAGTTACAAGTTGTTAGCAAATAACAGTAGCATTCTAGATTCGTCAGCTGAGCTTTATATAGTTGATAAACATGTAAATGAGGCATTACATTGAAGATAATAACAACTCTCAATTCTCTTTCTTAATCACAACTATTTTTCTCGGTAATTCCCTGATATAGCAGCCACCTTCTTCGAGCTTCAGCTCCTAGATTGATTGATTTCCATTTAGTTCTGTTACATTTGCATCAAAGAGAAAATAATATACTTGTGGAGATGGCTAAGAAGACATCATATGTTCCATCTAACTCCTCCAAAGATTTGATCGGGTATATTCCCACTCATGGATCTCATGGTATATATGGCAAAATGAAGTCCAATCCAATCCCCATATGGCCAAAGCAGTATAAATCTACAAGCCCTTGACGTTCGGCAGGGATTATCCCCTGATAAGGATAATCTCGCTGCATTTCTTGACTGTTTAAGTCAGAAACCATGTCTACTTGCTCACCATGCATTAAGTGAATACCGATCTCCTTGATGTTAAAACCAGTCATAGTAAGCACTGTGACATTCAGTGTGTCACCAGCATCCAGCTGACTCCGAAATTTCCAGCGGCTGAACCATAACATTTCTTTGTGGGCTTCAGGAAGACCATAGCAAGTCGGGCTATAAATCAGTTTCACGTTCTTCTGCTCATTATGGATTATCAAATAGAATTGGACCACCTCAATCCAGACTTTCCAGTCAATTGTGTAGGCTGAGCACACAGTTAAGCCTTGGATCTTGAGATCTGGAAGTGCAGGGACAGAGAAAGATATAGCTTCTCCTACATTTTTGTGACAATACCAATTAGGAACCTTGCTCCCCGGAAGAAATAGGCTAATCAGTCCTCTTTCAAACAATGCCTGCGTCATGAAGAATCACACTCAATAAATAAGAAAACGAGCAAAACAAATAACCAATAGCTACAGATGTTACATGAAGTTTGACTGAATACATGAAAGTAAATCCCCCAACCCTTTCTGGGGGAAGGAGAAAATGGAAGAGGAGAAAGTACCTTTGCTGGTCCTCTACTCTCTGTATTAGTTGAGTTATTATACAATTTCACTTGAGAGTTTCCCACAGAATCCCACATGCTTAATTCCAATGACTTCATTGTTTTCTCAACTCCTCTCATGGCTTCTAACTTGAAGCTTCCCTCCATATAAGTGAGATTTTTACAGCCAGTTGAAGGGTGAAGTTTCGCACGGCATCCTACTGATAGATATGTTACTTTTTCCAGGGAAGTGCAGTATCTCACCTGCAAATCATGGACCCGAGGTAGGTCTATGAGAGACGTGAGCATTGCACAAGAATTTAATTCAAGTGTGTTGAGCCTGGAAAGAGTTCTGATGCAATCTGGAAGGCAACTGATTGGATTTTTACTAAGGTTTAGGTCCTTCAACATCACTAAATTTCTCAAGTCCCTCGGAAAAGCAACCTCAGATAGATTGCACCCAGCTAGACTTAAATTAACCAAAGAGTTTGGCAAAGAGACCCATGGAAGCTGTAGAACCTTTTTCGGCTTAGAAACCCAAGACCGGATGAATGCATGCCATGTTGCATTCTGTTTTCTCANAGCTGTAGAGCCTTTTTTGGCTCAGAAACCCAAGACCGGATGAATGCATGCCATGTTGCATTCTGCTTTCTCGTAGAGGCCGCTAGTTGACTCATTGGTATTTCATTAGCAAGAAACACTGTCAAGGATTTCACCCTCCATAGATCTCTTGGCAACTCTACAAGATTTGAGCAACCAGATATTATGAGGGTTTTAAGAACTTTTAGCTTGCAAATCTCTCTGGGTAGTTTCTCAAGTCTTTTGCAGTTTTTGATATTTAACAAAATGAGCCGAGCCTATAAGGTTCCAATGGATTCATGAACCTCAACTAGATTGACACACTCTTTAAGAAGAAGCTTCTCCAGCATTGGCAGTCCTGAAAAATCAGGAGTTCTGACAAGAGAACGAGAATGGCTGAGGTTGAGAGTTTTTACCAGCGGAAGCACCTAATATGAGAAAGATTAGAAGAAAAGGATGAGTAATGAGTTATTATCCATATTAATTCTGTAACACTTTCACTAAAAGTGGAGGAAACTAATAACACAAAAACAAGTGTCATACCCTTCTTCCATCCCATAGTCTTTCCAAACAGCTGTTCCTCATGTCAAGAACAGCCAAGCTCTCCAATGGAAAATCATTTGGCATACTCTTTAAAGGAAGACCTCTCCAATATAGCCACCTCAGGTTCTTGGGAAAATCTTTATAAGCACCATTTAGATGTGTATAACTGATCTGAAGCAGTCTTAGCTTGTTCATCACTGTAAAGATATCTGTTCCCAATTCAATCCCATTTAAGGTTTTTGAAGAAAACTTGATGAGACGCCTGGAGAAACCGAACCGATAACTCTTAACTTCGGTAAACGGCAACTTTCTTCCACTGCTAGAACTTCCCGTGAAGGATTGGTCTTCCTTTACCATATTCATGTCAAGGAAAAGACCTTCAATTGTCTCTGAGCCCTGAAAATAATAATTTGAAAAGAGCTTAGCAGTTCCCAAAAGAAAAGGAAGTGTACACCAGAATGGAAATGCTTACCATGTTTTCTCTCAATACATTAAATGAATCCTTGTAGTGCCACAACCGGGTACGTCTCCCAGGCTTCTTGGGTGATTCTTGTCGGACCATTTCTCTGCCCATGTCCCGAAGCATTTGATGCATTATCAACTTGTTACCCTCAATTGTCAACAGGAATCTATCTGCGAGATTCTGAATCCCCATTCTTGTGTAAATATAAGATTCGTCTAGTACTGCAATAACGTAATCCTTATCCTTTCTTGTAAAGAAGCAGGCAATGTCAAGGAACAAATTCTTATCATGGTCATCTTTTAACGAATCATACCCCAATTTTAGTTTTTTAATTATCTGGCTCGCAGGAATCGCTTCCAACTTGTCTAATGCACTTTTCCATACATCGATCTTTTTCCCACGAAGCCCAAACTTGAAGTGCCAGAGGAAGCCCTCCACAATGCTTTACCACCCTGGTCGATAGTTCCATGTACTCATCAGCTGGATGGTCCTCGCCAAAGGAATGCCAACTGAAAAGCTCCAATGATTCATCATTACCCATTTCCTTGACTTCGTGAACTTTTTGAATTCCATGAACCTGGACCAAATTTGAATTCTTAGTTGTGACAATTATTTTACTTCCTGGACAGAACCAATTTTTCATTCCAATTATAGCGTGTAGCTCTTCTTGTTGATCAATGTCATCTAATATGACTAGAACTCTCCTAAAACATATAGCATCTCTTATCTTGATTATCCCTTCATCAATATCCTGTATTTTACTCTTTTTCCCAGTAAGATCATAAAGGAGCTGTTTCTGTAAGCGAATTAAGCCATCAGGTTGCTGAGAAATATCTCTGATATTTGCAAGAACGCTACTACCTTCAAATCTTTCAAAGTTCATAGTAAAAATATACTTGGCAACAGTTGTTTTCCCAATTCCACTCATCCCACAAATTGCAATGATGTTATCGTCATTTGATCCATTCTGCAACCATGACACAATATTTTTGACCCGCGAACTGATCCCAACCAGGTAAGGCGCAACACTAGAGATTGTGCGGTTCAATTTATCCTCAATGAGCTGAAGAATCTCTTCAATGAACTTTGACTCCTTCCTTATCAATTGACAAGAAGCAAATTGATTGGCATAATGTTACATCTGAAGAAACTAACTAGCAGAGGCTTTTGTATTGTTGAATCTGAAGTATTTAGAATATATGATCATTTCTCTGCTTGTTACAAAAACAGAAAGTGAAAAAGTAAGAGAAAGAGAAAATCAGCTAGACCGGCATGAAATTCCAGCGATGCCAACATATTCATACAAATACTTCAACCTCTAACTCCATTTCCTTTCTAATGAAATCAGCTGTACAATACAAGTACTTTGATGCCTAACTGAAAGGATCCTAAGCTTTAAGTTCTCAACCCAACACGTCAATAATATTTGAGACTTAAGCAGATTTATGTTTCCCAGGATAGTAATGTGCGGAGGAAGAGCCCATTGTTCACCTTACTCTCTCCCTTTTCTTTTTTCCTTAAATAGCTTTAGCTTCACTTTTACTATTTTATAATTTCCTAAAGACAAGAAAAAGTTATTCCTCAAATCTCTATATGCAAGGAGGAACGAGCAGGGGCGGACTCATAGGCTTATGCATGAGGCCGTTGTTGTTGTTGTTGTTGTTTCTGGAATTGATCTAATATTATCTTTTGACACCCATGCTCCAAAAAGACTAAATGGTGCACTTAGTTGAATACTAAGTTATTTACTTAAAGGAGCAAGGATCAATTCTACTTATTACTTTCTTTTTTCTCCTTTCTTGAGTGGTGCACCCTTCTTATAAAATTCCTAGATCCGCCTATCGGAACGAGTTCAAAAAAGTTATTTGAAAACAAAATCTCAACCTATTCTTGATTACTTTGCAGCATGAAGAATTGACTGGCTATGAAAAAGCCTTACCTATCCTCTTGATTGATCACTGTAACACTAACCAAATCTGCAACCTCTCCAAGAGCTGCTCTCCATTTTTGAACCTTATCAATCCACTCCCTCTTTCCTTCATCACTTTCAGCTTCAATTTGCTGCTCATATCTTCTAAATGCTTCTGCAAAACTCTTTGTCTGATCTTTAACTTCAGAGGGATCCACATGATAGAAGACAGGAAGAATTCCATGGCCTTTGGTCCTCTTATGTTCAAGGATTTTCACAAGTTCATCAAGGCACCATGTGGAAGTAGCATAGTTCTTTGAGAGGATAATTATTGCACTCCTCGAATGTACGATTGCATGCTCTAACTCAGTCTTAATATTTTCCCCTCTCTCAATCTCATTGTCATCCTTAAACGTGCGCCACCCTGCACCTACCAAAGCAGCATAAAGACGATCAGTAAAAGTCTTGCGGGTGTCTTCGCCTCTGAAACTCAAGAACACATGATAAATGCATGGAGAAACAAAAGAGGAGTATGTTTTTGGTCTTTCAGAACCCATCAGATCAAGTTGACCAATTCTCTAAGTAAGGATTCAATGGTTATATAATTACACAATGCTTTAAAAAATCAATGTATGAAATAACAAGAAGAAAATGCAGACTAGTGAAAGCTAATTAGGCTAGATAATAGTTCCTTTATCTGCTAATAAATTAATAAGCTGATTCTTTATTTAATTAGTAGTGAAATCCTCAGCCTTGGATCAATGAACATAAGTCCAAAATCTGACTCAACGTCCACCTACTTTTGCCTCTATTATCACATATAAAGAATTAAATTAATCAAAAGATGGTCAAGGGAGTCTCTGCTGTTTGATTATAAAAAAGAAATATAAAAGGGGCCTACTGCTTAATTAACTAATCCTTCTTGATTAGTTTATTCAGGAATCAGCAGCTTGGACACGACAGTGGCACTGGCCACTAATCTTTCCGAACATACAATTTGATATTCTGCATAGAGCATCTAATGCTATACAATAACCACCTCTCTTGACAAATTATATGGTCTGAATTGGGAAATTAAATACTCCAAGCCCACACCATAATAAAAAATAAATTTCTGAAAAACATTGGCTTTACAGGTAGATATCATCACCACAAATCTAAAATTTCTGTCTCTCGCAAAATTTTGGGGAAGAAAATTCAATTTAATCTGCTTATGGACAAAACAGAATATGAATTCGGGAGAAGTGTGGTCTAATATGTATCTTAAGTGAAACATGACTTATAACTATGTCAAAACCAAAGCTAACTGCAGACTATGATTATTTATTTTTGTCGTATAAATAAACCTAAAAACTGTAGTATGAAAATAATCAAATTCTAAAAACATGAAAGAATTTCTAGTCACATATAGTTTCGAGCTCTTATACAAAAAAATCAAATTGAACTGCATAAAATCCTAAATTTTGCCAAGACCTTTGCAAGTCTTGAACTTCTTCCATCACGGATAAATGGGCGGACATCGAATTATGTTACTAAGGAATTTGTTGAGGGCATGTTCGTTGTCCTTGAATTTAGGAACAAATTTTCCGAGAGCTCGCACGTATGAAGGATCAAATTCTCCGGTAATACAAAGAAGCCTGGTGAGACGACGAAACAAGTCTTTGCAGAGAATTGCATTATAAGCACTAGTAGTTTGTTTCAAGGGCCGCTTCGGACCAAAATAGTGCTTCACGCAAAACTCTGTAAGTGGCAGCTTATCATCCTCGTCGTCTTTGCTGCTGCCTTTTAGGTTGAAAGTGATAAATAGTAGTATTGCAGAAACTATGAGTACATGAATGAGGATGAGAAATACCAGTAACCTTCTTGTAATATTGATATTGAGCGCCATTAATTACTACTGCTTTAGCTTGGCACCGCAACCGCAATTCCTGTAAGGTTTTATACTGTGATATTTATTATACTAGAAGTAGGATTCGAAGGCAATATGTTTGCAGAATTCCCCAATCCCCAATCGAGAACTTCAAATTGGTGCCATTTTATAATTTAAAACTAATATATGACTTGAGGCGATCAACCTACCCTATATGAATCTGGGTCATCATCTAACAAGCGAGGGTTGTCAAATGGCCGTGGTCGGGTCGGATACGTGCGGGTAATATAAAAACGGATAAATTATCGGACCCGATTCATATTTAATATGGGTAAGAAATGAGTTAGCCGACGAATAATATGGATAACATGACTTCTTGAATATGATCATTTTTTGGAGAATTTTCAGTTTTCCAAACTTGAGTAATCCCTAATTTGAGGCTTTACAATGTAAAAGTTAAACCCATTATTATTTATTTTCTAAACAGATAATATGATTCTTATCCATATTTGACTCACTTTTAAAAGGTTCATTATACTACGGATTTTTTAATGGATAATAAGAGTGGATAACTATGTTCTTTTAAGGAATTTTTACCTCGTATAGCAAGGTTAACACCTTATTTATTTTAAATAAATACCATTTAAAAAAATTATATTATATAGATATCTTTTAAGATTTATAGCAAAATATTTAATTTTGGTTACCTCCTAACCCTAAGCCACTAAATACGCTAATCAGTTACACTATTTTCTTTCTCTTTCTACTTTGATACATCACATTCTCTTCCCCGTCCATTAAAATTTTCGATCTCCTCCTTCCACCGGATTTGTGCAAAGCCCACTTCAGAAATTGCTCCGGCTCCCGCATCCGACGACTGCAACAACTTGAACTTGGTCCAATTGAACAGCCTTGCTCCAATGGGCTATTTGGGAACAAAAATAATCCAGCTGATGTTGATTTTGAATTTGATTTATTGATGCAAGATGAGTACCAGTTCGATATCTTCTCACAGTTGTCCCCGGAACATGGGCATACTACATAGGCTAATTCTTATGATTTTTTTATTTTTTTTGTTAAAAAATAGGGTCAATATAATGTTTTAACAATTAACGTTGATATAGCTTTGGCAACAGAGCCTGGATATACTAGATTGGCTAATTCTTCTGATGCTTTCTGAATTTTTTGGGTCAATAATCAATAATGTACTGACAATTAGCTACAACGTTCAATAAGATTTGTTATGATTTTGCTCTTTTGTGCAGAGCATTTCAATGTATCTCGCTGTATTTTTATGTATTTCATTGTATTCACTATTTTTTTTTCATTGTAATTTAATGTATCTCGTTGTATTCCATGTATTTCATTGTATTCAGTGTCCTTTTTTCTCATTGTATTTCAATGTATCCCTCTGTATTCTATTTATTGCATTGTATTCATTGTCTCGCTATATGCCATGAATGTATTCATATGTTTTTTTAATTAATATAATTTATGTATTCAGATGTATTATATAATTTCTCTGAAGATTGTTATGTTTTTGGGTATTTTGCGGTTGAGAATCTTTTTTATAACTAAAAAAAATACAAAATTTGTGTGTTATAATTGAGTTTGTTGAGTTATATTAGGAGTCTATTACGTTAATTGATTCACTTTCCGTTTTAAAACAGTATAATCCCCTATTTCACGCCGTGAATACTGTCGAATACAATAATCTGTCCAGCTGTAATCTCATGTTTCACTTCATGAATACAGTCGAATACACTCGAATACAACAACTGATAAGCTGGACTTCCCTAATTCACGCTCGAATACACTCGAATACAACAACTGATAAGCTGGACTTCCCTAATTCACGCCTATTTTTGCTACTGTATTCATGAATACAATAGCTTAAATACATAATACATCTTATAACCACAGAAAATGTATCTATATTCCGTAATATAGCAAATGATATCTATAAATAACTAATTACTACAAAAAGATAGTGCTTTATAAAAATTTCTCTTCTTTAAATCATTTTGCCACCACTAATCAAGCCGATCAATTAAAGTGGAGGAAATGATCTCTTAATCAAACCCACAATAAAATAGAATGATCGTACAAAACATTTTTATATTATATTTACAGATCTATGTAACTAAAATAATATTTAGACTTAGACATCATTTAATTTTTTTTAAGATTAAAATATCTAAATATTCAAATGTGTATTAAAACTAAAATGCTTGAATCTGGATACATATCTGAAGAATAAGATTTATAAGAGTAAATAATAAGATTGTTTATTTTTTGAATATGAAGGTATAAAACTTATCTTTATTTTAAAAATTAATAGATAGAAATTTTCAGATTAAATACTAATTATAATATTATATCAACAAAATATCTTTTTATGGTAGTTGGTGTTGGTTGTTGGTGCCGCCTGGGGTGGTGGTTAGTGGTGGCAAAATAGATTAAAAAAATAGTTATCTACCCATATTATCTACTTAAAATGGGTTAGATAATGAATTTTTTAAAAATGGGTCAAATATAGATAAGAACCATATTATTCGCTTAAAAAATGAATAACAATGGTTAACTTTTATATTTGCAAAGACTCAAATTGAGGATTCCTCAAATTTGGAATACTAGAATTCTCCCAAAAGTGATCATATTCAAGAAGTCATAGATAATATGAATAGATAATATGGATATCCATACTATCTGCGGTTTAACCCCTTTTCTATCCGTATTAAATATGAATTGGTCGAATAATTTATTCATTTTTACATTATCCGTTTTGGCCCGCTCATATCCGATCCGACCCGCCCGTTTGCTACCCCTTGTGGTGGTTGATGATGGTTGTTGTGGGTAGGAAGTTCATTCTTCTTGTTGATCTATTCAGTATTTCAGACTTCAGGGCCAGAGCAGTGTCACATAAGCCACCATACTATTATGGAATATAAGTACAAAAATGGATTACAGCACCAAATAGCTCAGATAACTTTCTAAGTCGATGCAAAATCTACACTCCCCTTTCTCCATTAAACCACAGATTAGAAACTGCCTTTGGTGGACCCAATGTCTGTTTAACTTCAACAACCCAAAGATTGATAATCCCTGCATTTGCACTGATGGGTGAGGGAAAGTTGACATTTTCAATGAATTGGGAACCTAAACTTTCTGTAATCAAGATTCAAGAATAAATGGAGAGGTGATAGACGCCTGAGCTTAGCTCATAAGGAGACAAATCTCCTCCAATTGCATGATGAAGTGGATAGCAGGGACGACGACATCCCTCCTTTGTATTCTCAGATAGGGTGTCTTCCTCCCTTTGTTCACTGCATACAAGATGGGCACCAAATTCCCTAACCAAGCAACTCATGCTTAAGGAGACAACAACTTGATCTCCTTTTTCTAGCTGATCTCCAAACTTCCAACGACTTAACCATAGCATTGGATTACCAGGAGTTGCAATCCCAAAAACCGTTGGACCATAATTCCATTTGATCCTCTTGGTTTTATTGCTCACTTTTATGAAGTGACTTTGGCTGAAACATTCGTCATAACATTCTACATAAGCAATGCATATCTCTAATCCTTGTGTCTTGATGTTAGGAAGTTGAGGCACAGAGAAAGCTAATGAGCTCCCTGTGCTTATATTATTGAACTCGGTAGGAACCTTGCCTCCAGGAATGAAAATGCTGTGTATACCAAATTCATAGAGTCCCTGAACGGGACCTTTGCTTTTCGTTGAGGTCAGATAGTTGCAAAGTTCCACATCTACTGCTCGGACCTCCAAATTATCTAGGCAAGATACAACAACAATATCATCAATAGGATCTAGCTTGAATACTCCCTGAACCTCAACCAGATTTCCACAATTCTCTAGGTGCAAGTCAAGTGACCTCATGAAGTTGGGTAGATTTGTTACTCTATTCAGTGATATGCAGTTACGTGCATTCAATAATTGTAAACTCAATGGAAGTTCCGGGATCCACTGGAGCTTTGTGCAGTCAGCTAACTGAAGGGACTGCAGCACAGTTAGGCTCTTCAGGCTCTCTGGCAGGGTAGTAATGGGATTTCCTCTTAAATTCAGATATTTTAAGGAGGACAAGACAGAAAGATCATAGGGAATAAAAGTGCCAGTCAGATTGCAATGTGAAATATCCAAACTTTGTAAGGTGATCTGAAAGAGTTCTGACATTGAACGTGCTGACTTTGGCCACGGTGACATCCAAGACCAGAAAATTGAATAGACAGATTTAGCAGCCAGAGAGTCACTACATATTGGCTTTTCACCCTTAGAGGCAAGTTGATTTCTGTTAGTCACATTCTGCAGAAGTGCTTGCAAAAAAAATTGATTTCGCATTGTCGTGGAAAACTCCAGCTTCGAGCACCCACAGAGTGTTAGTTCTTCTAACGATTTTATTTCCCTCATCTTCCTTGGAAGCTTCCTAAGGCTCTCGCATCCCTTCAGATTTAAAACAAGAAGTTTATGAAGTCTTCCAATGGACTCATGGACCTTAACCAAACCTATGCAATGTTCAAGAATAACTCTTTCTAAACTCGGCAGTCCAGAGAAGTCAGGGGTCTTCATGAGATGGCGTGAGTGACTAAGATCAAGTATCTTCAATGATCGGAGAGACTGAGGAAAAATAGATAGAGAGGTAGAAAGAGTCAGTAAAGAAAAAGTACCAAAATGTTTGCCAGGACACAAATAACCACAACATTAGACAAGAGTGGAAGTCAGCAAACCTTTGCTCCCTCCCATGTTTGGTGCAAGTTGCTATTGCTCATTTCAAGAACTACAAGATTTTCTAGAGGGAAGCCACTTGGAAAGGAAGTTAATTGGAATTGATACCAGCACATCCATCTTAATTTCTTTGGAAATCCTTCATAGGTGCCAGAAAGCTGCACATTATCAAGCTCAAGAAATCTCAGTTCTTGCATTTTAAAAAATGCTTTAGAACTTATTCCAGCTTCATTTGGTGCAGTCTGTGATCTTGCCGAAACAGAATTTACTTGACGCCAAGAGAAAAAGCGTAGGCAAAGCCTCTTTGATGAGTTTTTGAGAATCAATGTTGAAGTATTCGGTGAATCATCACAGTGAGGTCTTTTTGACATATTTTCATGTTTGTCTGATTTGCTTTCATCTGATCCACGCATTTTAAGAGTGAGCCCCTCAATAGATTCTGTAACCTGACATGGAAAGTAACATTGAAGTGAGCACGAGCACCAGGAAAAAGTAGCAAATTGTTACAAGATGGGTGAGACATACAGTTTCTTCCTGCAGTATACTGAGGGCATCCTTGTGATGCCAGATTCTGCTGCGTTTACCAGGTTCTGTGGGCGATTCTCGGCAGATGACCTCTTTACCCATTTCTTGTAGTAACTGGTGCATCATTAGCTTGTTTTCAGGAGTCACTGTCAGAAGACATCTATCGATGAGATTCTGTATTTCAGCAGTAGCATGGAAACCACATTCATCAAGAATTTTGATTGTATAATCTTTGTCCTTTCCAACAAAGAAGCAAGCAATATCAAGAAATACATTTTTCTCATGGTCATCAGGCAAAGCTTCATAGCTTAGTTCAAGAATTTTATGTTTATGGAATTCAGAATATCTTTCTAATTTATTTATTGCAGCTTCCCATAAATCTATACTTCCACCACGTAGCGAAGAGGCTAGAACTTGAAGAGCTAAAGGAACCCCTCGACAATGTTTAACTATCTGTTTGGATTGCATCATGTACTCCTTGGCGGGATGGTCTTGACCAAAAGTATGCAAGCTGAAGAGCTGAAGCGCCTCAGGAATGTCAAACCTCTTGGCTTCATACATCACACAAGCATCGTGAGGGTTTACCAAGCTTTTATTTGTAGTTGTTATAATAACTTTACTCCCAGGAGGAATCCAATCTCTTGAATCAAGTAATGCTTTCAGTTGGTCCAAATCATCAACATCATCAAGAACCAAAAGAAACCTTCTGTGAACCAAAAATTCTTTGATCTTAGAAGCTCCCCCATCAATATCATATAGATCAATCCTATCCTCTTTCAAAAGATCTGAAAGCAGATTTTTCTGTAGGCTAATTAGACTGCTGCTTTCTTTTGCAATTTCTCGAATATTTGCAAGAAAACTGCTGTACTGAAATCTGTCACAATGTAGGTTAAAAAGAGCTCTGGCAATGGTTGTTTTCCCTATTCCAGGTTCTCCATAAATCATCAATGTATGAGCACCAGTCAAGCTATCTTGTAACCAGAAACTGATCTCTTTCACGCGGTGATATATTCCAACTGGATATTGGGCAATACTCAAAACTTTGCGACTCATCTTACCCCAGATGTCCTCAACAATTTCTTGAATAAACGTTAACTCATCCCTGACAGGAAAAAAAGGACCATTCAGATATATCATATTGGTTGAAATGCATATGTCACAATAACAAGATGGAAGTCGAATGACCGGATACAACGCTGATGTCATAAGATAAAAGTCGTAAATCAACAGAATATTATATATATCCAAATAATTGCAGGTTTTGTCGCACACTTAAGAACACCTATGTTTCAAACGAAATTTCATTTAGCTTACCCGTCTTCTAGAACTATCCCTGCCATATTTGCAACCTCCTTGAGAGATGCTCTCCATATCTTCACCTTTGCTATCTGCTCATTCCTTCTTTCACCCTTCCCCCCCATGATCTGCTCTTCATAATTATGAAGCGCTTTTGCATAAGATCCTTTCTGCTTTCTCACATGGGATGGATCCATATGATAGAACACAGGTAGAATCATATGACCGGCACTGAACTTCCTTTCCAGGATGTTCACAAGTTCATCTAGGCACCTTCTAGAGTATGCATAATCTTCCGAGAATACAATTATTGAAATTCTCGCTTCCTTGAATGCTTTTTGCAATTCTGATCCAACAATCTTTCCTTTCCTAGCTTCACCATGTTTCTTGAATGTTCGAAGACCTACACGTGTCAATTCCGTGTGCAGAAGATTGATGAAGTTCATACTGATCTCTTGGCCTCTATAACTCAAGTATACATGATAAGGGCATCTAGGACTGGAGAACGATGCCTTTTCAGCTCTCATCATGAACATGGATCAAAGGTCTAAACGAAGACGCTCTTTAATCTGCAAAGTTCATCGAAAGAAGGAAAAATAACAATATAAGTTACTGAAGATAATGTTCTCTCATGCATTTCATGAAATTGAATGGATAAACACAAAATATCTCAAATTAGAAGATGGGAAGGGGTAACTACAGCCAATCTTTTGTCTAATCAGGCTTAGACATGCAGATATTTTATTCGTCACAGTTGCTTGATGCAGCAGCATTGATGATTTTAGCATATATAACTTTGGCAGTAACAGTATCTATTTGACATGGATTCTATTTACACCTTTAACAAAAATGACTGATTTAGAGTGATGTAGTCAAATGTACTATCTAAGCTATCTCCAGATTACAACATCCTGACTCTTGACTTGAGTATTAAATTGTACTACCAGCTAACTCCAGATTATGACATCAGGACACCTGACTTGAGTACTAAATGGTTTTCTTCAGTGTACGTCCTATACATTCAGAAGTACAACATGCAAATATTGATGACTTTTAATATTAGCTATAGTGATGACTCAGAACCATATTCGTGCAACTGATCTGACGAATTTTTCTATTACCATGGGGGTATTATTTCTTGTGCTGNCCCCCCCAACACACACACAAAAAAAAAAAACTTTGACAGAATCACTATATTATATAATATAACCTCATTCATATGCAGCCACAATTACTGTGCTAGGAATGCTAGTAAGAAATTGTAAAGATGATAATATGCACTTCCTTCAAGAGAAAACCACAATAGAATCTGCAAAGTAGGAATCTTGGAAATGGCAAAAGAGCATTTGTTCCCTTCAAAGTCTCTTCTTGGTTTTTTCAAGGATTGCTGCAAGTTCTTTGTCAAATTAGGTTGAACGGCGAAGATTAGAACTATTTTCACCTTGAATAAAGCACCCCCATAGTGCCAATAAATTAGAATTGTTAACTTGACATGAAAAGTTGAGGCACGAGGAGCCAAAGGCTAAGGCTTCTTTTCAAGCTTGCTCACTCTAATATAATTTTGTCTAATTTATGCCATAGATAATCCTATCACCAATTTTAGAATGAACGTGAGATTTTATTAAGCAAAAAAAAAAATTTAGACAGTAACTACTTTTGAAGACAAAAGAGAGATACTTTTAAAGCAAAACAGGTAATCAACAGATCAATTTAAATGAACAAACTCAATTATTGTAATGATCTAACAACTTCTCAGGTTCAATCTCACCCAAACTCAAATAGTTAACCATAGGAAGGCAAAGCCTAGTAACTAATCCAATGTTTCATAACTATCCTGTTTTATCCCATTCATCGGCACGTTTTTTTTCCGCCTTAAATCATAAAATACTGATATGATATCATATATAACAGCTCAGCCCACTAGTAATATTGCTCGCTTTATGTCTAGGCCCACACGGCTTTAAAACGCGTCACTAGAGTTTATGACATGTTTACTTATATATCCGGCATCTGAGATTCGCCTAGGTTGTCACAAAATGAACCCACAAAGAATTTTTGGAAAAGTAAAAAGGAACAGGTATTTAACATGATACTTCAACTAACCCAAAAAGAAAAAGTTTTGTATCTGATACTACAATGATCAGCATTACATGATTTTAAGTATTTCCACAACATTAAAGTACATAAAGATAATGTAAAAGTCTTAGGCAGGATTTAATTCACTAACCCACTAAGCCTAAAAAGGAAAGAAAGATGCAATTAAAATACACAGCTTTTAAATATTTTGTGCTCAGAATTCTTAGAAATCTATAATTTCAAAGAAGACTAGCCAATTTAGTTCAGTAACAACATACCCACATAACATAGAATTCCATAGCTAAAAAACATGCATAGTGACAGAAATTGAAACATTTCAAGGTGCAATAGAGTTTGAGAGATTGTATATTATTACCTGGCTTTTCAGATGAAAAAGCTTCAGCTTTGGGTTGGATTGAAATTTCGGATGCAGAATTTTTGTGACTATGATTATGCATAGCCGAAGCTGTGTAGAAGAAGAACCCCAACAATCCATGGGGAAAGTCAGAGGAAGATGCTCAGAGGGAGCACAGTCGTTGCAAAGTCAAGTCAACCTCAATATATCCTTATTTGTTAAAGATTGATTAACTAACTGAAATAATGCCCTAAGTTGATTTTGCCTTATTTTAGCTCACTTACAAATTTGCAAATGTGCAGCCAAATATTAATAATAAGCTTAAATCTGAATTTTTTTCTAGTTTTTTTATTCTCTATATCTTTAAGCGTGAAATATTTTCATTCTCCTTTTTCCTCAAGTTTCTACATACCTATCACAACTACGAAAATTCTCAAACAGACGCGAGAAATCTAAAATCTCATCTTCTTAATGCTAATCTTGTTAGTTTTTGAATATGATTTTATGAGAAATTTAGAGTGGATATTGTTTGAACTTATTAAAATTAGTCTAAGTAGACTGTATACAAAATTTGAAGTCATTTAGTGGAGATTTGGAATAGTCTTAATCAAGAATTGCAAGTGAAAATCGTAAAAAAAATTCGTCAGAGATGCTTATACACTTTTATACAATATTATACAAAGAGGTATATTATATATATAGTTGTATAAAAGTGTATATATATATATATATATATATATATATATATATAAGAGTACAGTAGTGAAAATGTTAGTGATACACCATGTATATAGGTGTAGCAGTTGAAGAAGAAGAAGAAGAAATCCACCAAATACATGTAAATAATGTATCAGCCTTGTATAAAATAATGTATAAGAGGTATTTATACACTACTATACATTACTTATACAATATTTTATACACTACTATACATTACTTATACAATATTATATACTATTATACAAATGAATCATATTAATGGAGCTTCACTGGTTCTTCTTCTTCTTTGGGCATCTCCTGAAATTCAACTCAAATCTACCTCAAATATGCTCCAAATCACTTCAAATTTGAGTTTTGAACTCCCCTTGACGATCTTAATCAATTGGGCCAATACTCAATCCAAACAACTAACAAAATCGAAAAATCCAATTTCTGAAATTGAAGCTTCGAATGACCTTTAATAGTGACTCCAAAAATAATAATTCTCTTAAGTGGTATTTTTTTCTTCTCATCTTAATAGTGATTATCAACTTTGAATCTGGAAGGAGAATTGAAGAATATATATAATGGTAGAGAAACTTTGGGGTGCAAAGTCGTGAAAGAGGAAGAAGAAGAACGAAGAAAAGAAAAAAATAGGGTGGACTAACTGGTGAAAAATAATTTTCAGATTATGTACGACCTGGGCCATATTAGGTAAGGACTTCAAACGTGGGCATTTTTTGATGGACTGTTGGGCCAAGTGACAAGGAGCGTAATTCCCTTCATGATTTGCTATCCTTTTTATTTTAATGTTTTTAGCAATTATTTTAAGCTAATTATCATTAATGCAAAATAATTAAAATCTGGTGGATTTGTCGTTTCTAATATCATATTTTGTACTACTTGTAATGTTAATTAAAATTAGTAATATCATACAGCTAAAAGGAGGAGATCTTCACAAAAAAAAAAAATTAGTAATTGTGTTTATACATCATGTCGCTTTACAATATTTGCATGAAATTCAATTCACACCGATGGTTTTCGATGACAATGATAGCCACCATTTTAGTCGCCACCAAAAATAAGCACCAAGTTGCCGAATTATATGCCGCTATTTTTAGTAATGGCTACGTTAAATCTATTTATGATACATTTATTTACTTTTTGTGGTCAAATTCTTCATCACGTAAGCTAATTTATTTTATTATTAGCTTTTCAGGCAATTAACCTCGCCACAAAAGTAAACAAATATGCTATTAAAGATAGGTCGCCATTATCATCGTTTTGAATCGAGGGTCTTTCAGAAATAGTCTCTTTACGAGTAAGGGTAAGGTCTACATACATGTTATCATCCACGTACCCCACTAATGAGATTTTACTGGGTTGTTGTTGTTGGCACCATCGGGGCTGGCAAAATATAGTTTTACTTTTGCTGGCGACAAAAAGGGTCGCCACAAATGCGGTCATTGAAAACTCCTGCGCTGTTACTTAGAACGTGATGTCGCTATCAACCTTCGTTGTACAACTGCTACTACCTTATTTGGTATATATTTGTATTTTCAAAGCAGTCAACTATGTTGACAATTAACTCAACAACTGTTGTGAATACATAATTTTTGCACTATTTTAACATCTCCTAAAAGTTCTTAGTGTTTTGTTAGTATTTCTTAAATTTTTGTGTCTTTAATTACATATTTCCTATCATAAAAATGCCGAAAATATATATATAATTCTTTCTTCATTTGTGTATTTTAGGAATTAACTAACTGTTCAATTGGTGAATTAATCTAGTTAATTGATCATTTGCATAAGTTGTTTAATTAATTTATTTATGTAAAATTAGTTTAATAAGTAGGATTAAGGGAAAATGAGCTAAAATTAAAATGATCTGGTGGCTAAGAGTGTAATATCATGTTTAATTGAGTGGCTGCCAGGAGAAATTCAAAACGACGTAGTTTCAAGGTGAAACTACGTCACTTTGTTTAATAAAATCAAGATGAAATCCTAGCCCCCCTTATCCTTGATCCAATGGCCCAGATTTAATTTCACTTGGCATATAAAAGGCCCTTTTAAATGAGATTTTTGCCATTTTCTCCATAACCCAAACCCTAGAAGCCCTTCTCCTCTCTTCTTTTCCCCAGCCGCCGCCGCCTCTCCCCACGACGGCGCCGCCCGCCAGTATCCCCAAACCACCCCAAAATTTCACCCTTTGTTCCTCTCAACCACCTCTTTCCATATTTTTAAACAAAATCTTTCAAAACCCCCTCAAAATCCACGAATTTTAAATCTAGGAAAGCCATAGCCGCATTTTTTTGTGTGAAATCCGTGAATATTGAGCCACCCCTTCACCCAACGCCTACATAGAAGTATATAGCTCGACAAGGGCTATCATTTGGAATTGGTATTAACCCGAAACTCCGGCGACCCCTACTATCCGCCGCTACTGCTTCTCCATCTTTTTTTTTTTTGACCAAAGGCACTTGTTTCCTTTTGGCAAGATGCCAGAATCTATTAGTTTAGCATCTTCCAAAATAAAACAAATGCCCCAAGGTAGGACAGCCGCCTCTTCACATCCCCGACATTTTCTCGTGGCTCGAATAGTGTCAAATGCCCTCGATTGGTATAAACCCTAATTCCTTTTTATCTTTTCTGATTTTTTCTGTTTGCTTTTGTAATTAGTATTAGTTTTAAGGTTTAATTTCTATTCTTGTTATTTTTATTTGTGGGCAAGGGAGCTAGGGTAGTATCGGTTTTCAATTACATGTTACTTTATAAATGTGAATTTCAGTTCTTCGACCTAGCCGGTCGAGTAGTTCGTTATTGTCTGTTAGTTCTGATTTTTGGTTTTTCGACCTAACAAGTCGACTGTTTTGAGTGAATTTGTTAAGTTTGAACTTTCAGTTCTTTGACTTAGTCGGTTGAGTAGTTCGTTATTGTCCGTTAGTTCTGATTTTTGGTGAATTTGTTAAGTTTGAATTTTCAGTTTTCCGACCTAGCTGGTGATAGTTAAGTGTTTTATGCTAGTTTCATGAAAAATCAAAAGATTAGTTGAATCGTTTATTATGACTTGTGAGAGTGGTCATGTTTTGTTTTCAGATGATTCAAATTTTAATTGAAAGAACAATTCATATTTTAGAAGCTTAAGATGAATAAATGGACCGGATGGTAAAATATGTGTAAATTACCCCAAAATAGATTTTTGATGATTCCAAGAGCTCCGTATGGTGATTTTGGACTTAGGAGCGTGTCCGAAATTCTTTTTGGAAGTCTATAGTTAAATTAGGATTGTAATGGTGAAAATAGGAAATTTGAGTTTGGAAGTTTGACCGGGGAGTTGACTTTTTGATATCAGGATTGAAATATGATTTTGAAAAGTGGAACAGCTTCGCTATATCATTTATGACTTGTGTGCAAAATTTGAGGTCAATCGAAATTGATTTGATAGGTTTCAACATCAAATGTAGAATTTCGAATTTATTAGTTTTGAATAGGCTTGAATTGGGGTGTGATTCATGTTTTAGTATTGTTCAATGTAATTTGAGACATCGACTAAGTTCGTATTATGTTTTAAGACTGGTTGATGCATTTTGTTGAGGTTCCGAGGGCCGTGGGTGGATTTTAGAAGGCTAATGGATCGATTTAGACTTGAAGAAAAGCTGCTGCATTTTTTCACAGCACTGTGAGTACTGTTCCTGTGAGCAACACTATGAACAGTAACCGTGAACAGTACTGTAAACAGTAAGACGCGTGAACAGTACCGCAAAAATTCTGGACAGTGTATAGAGGAGCAGTTCGAGTTTTCTTCCATTTTTGGACTTCCAAGCTTGGGTTGAGCGATTTTCAAAGGCAAAGTTCACCACAAAACTTGGGGTAAGCGTTTTTGACTCCCTTGTGATAATATTTCATGAATTAATCTTCATTTTTGGAGTTAGATTATTGATATTTCAAGAGAAATGGAGGAATTTTCTAAAATTCCATAAAATGTATTTTTGAGATTTGAACATCGATCTGGAGTAGGATTTAAGTAAAATTGGTATGGTTGGACTCACAATTGAATGAGTTGTCGAATTTTGTAAATTTCGTCGGATTCCGAGATGTGGCCCCCATGGGTGATTTTTAGTTAAATTTCGGATTTTTGCGAAACGATTAATATTTTCACATGGAATTAATTTCTACAAATTGTATTGACTGAATCACATTAATTGTGGCTAGATTCAAGGCGTTCGGAGGCTGATTTACGAGGTAAGGGCATAGCGGAGTAAAGAACTTCACGGTTTGAGATAAGTAACTCTTTTAAACTTAGTGCTGAGGGTATGAAACCCCAAATTATGTGTTATGTGATTGATGTTGAGGTGACGCACATGCTAGGTGACGGGCGTGTGGGCGTGCACCCTGTGAATGGTGACTCTATTGTTTCCAGGTCACTGTGTAGTGGTCCTACTTTGTTGATATCTGTGTTTTCACCATGTGATAAGTAAATTGAGCTGTACATCATGAT